CTTAGCTATCCAGTGTGAATAAAGGTGCATGGTTTGACTGTTTGGTCACAATGATTTAAGTGAGTTAACTCTTAACAGTTCTGGGTAGAAGATTATAAACAATTAAAAAGTTTCCAATGCCCAGGTAAAACATAGGGTAAATTTTGGGTAAAAAGGTTACAGCCAGCTTTGAACAACTGGCCCAAGGTCTACCAGCAGGCACAGTTATTTATAGATTACTTTTTGCGGTGTTACATCATGCATTATGAAAATACGTTGTTATGCAGGACGGGCACCGAACTATAACGTTGATGTAAATAGCAAAATACATACTCAATACAGGCTTCAATTGAAGTAAAAAGGCGACGAATAAGCACACTGAGACATCCATCCTTTAGACTTCAGAAAGCTTCAAAAGAAATAGACAACAAGTAAACGAAACATACCTGCAGGGAAACTTCTGGCCCCCCCCCCAGGAATCGGGTTTGCCCCTTCCCTTCCATTGATTCTGAGATTTGGAACTATAAATGCATGCTATCGATATACATCGCACAGTGATTATTTCAACCTTGGTAAAAATTCGTAAAAAGCTGTGAAACTACAACTATGGACCTCACAATAAATATTAAAAAAACCTCTTTAATAATTACTAAACTTTATTCTTGGTTATATACTATTCAACAGTTTATTTTAGAAAGGTTGAAACTATCTAGATTTACCTCGAGTGGAACGGTACAAGGGAATTAAGAGTATATCATTCATGCAGAAGCACAATGTTATCATTGTATTCAAATATCTCTCACCTAGGTTGGCATAACAATGACTAACTCTACCGATCATCTTTTAAATGTTATGCTAGCCTTGATAATTCGAGTTCGATGCACTTTCTTTAGCCAGCTGACATTTCCATTTACACAAATGTAATGCTATTTAAGACATCGTTTCAATGCGTTTTAACTTATTCAACTCATTAAAACATAACTAAGTTTCTTCGTAACACTGTATTCGTTACCACCTGTTCACAGCTTGCCTATGTTGTTAGATACAGTAAATATTTTATATATAATATAAACTTACGAATCTAGTACCAGCAAACCACTTAATATACGCAGCTTGATAGAGCAGTGATTTTATTGGCTGCATGCATTTAAAAATTCCTTTTGTGTTCAGAATGATGAATTGCTTCGTTCTTTAGAAAACAGTTTTGTACATGAAAAAATGAGTGGAAGCAAACAACCAGAGAAATTTTGAAAGCTTTCTGAATATTATTAGAAAAGTTGAACAATGTGGTGATATACACCTTCGTACCCCTGCATCTTTTTCCTGCAGGAGAAACTGTCTGTTTTCATTGATATCATTCGATTTCTGCAATATGAAGTGGATTCATAGTGTCTAAGTCACGTGTGAGATCTTTCAGTTTTTAGCCAGCAAGCCTAATCAGTTCTGCGGGTATTTCGCGCTTTTCTCGTAACATGTCAACACAAACGTCAGATTGCCGAGGGGGGACTGGACTGGGTATTTGTATCATTTTGTGGCAATCTCATCCTCGGTCCCAGGGCCTCACGGCTGACACTGCGCAGTGTCAGCCGTGAGGCCCTGGGACCGAGGATGTGGCAATCTTCAATACAACTGACAAAATTTCTAAAGTTTCTCGCTTCCCTACACGAGCGCTGTGATGTAAAATGCCGTCAAAATTTGACCAATTTTCAGGTGACGTTCGTGTTGACAAGGGGCGGTCTTTACTGGATCTCTAACGAGAAGTTCTCGCTCGAGCTAAGCCTATCAAACAAAACACCGAGTGCATAAATATGATGTTTATTAGTCTAAATATACAACAATATAAAAATCTGCAATATTCTACAACATAGAATACGTATGCTTAGTTTATGAGTTAAATGTCCACGGACTTATCTTCGGATTCTAATTTTGACCATCTTGTATCAACGCATGATTTCACCTTGTTAAACCTGTAGGTTTGGACAAAATGTTAACTACAATCGTATGACTTTACTGTTCAATGAATATAGAATACAAACCAACCCCCCCCCCCCCTTCCTATTAAGCCCCCTTCCCTATCCAAAGAAGAAAATTGAACTAGCGTACATGGCCTACCACACTCCCATCTCTCCAACCCCCATGTCTCCCTAACTCCCCACCCCACCCGTCAAACGAGCAAGAAATAGATAAGCCCACGAGGGCGTAATATAGAGGATTTACAGACGTGTAGTTCTGAGCGACGTCTGTAATACCTGGCAGAATCCATTGCCTGTCTTACCTGCTTAATTTAAATAGTGGTTTCTCCTCTATCACTTCTTTCCTAAAATAAAAAAAAACAACTATTATCCTTGTGTACAATACTTAATAATGCACCCTAATCATGTGGCAATAACTGAATTTAACATTGAATGCCTGCTATTGGCTGACTCGTGGCCAGACAGCTAGGACTTACTTTGGTTTCAGTGACTCACGAAGTCGTTTGCCAATTCGTCTTTCCCGAGCTTGCCTCTCTTTTTCGAGTACCTGTATACGGAAAAAAAGTATCAATAGTTGAGTTTAGTGTGTCTGATGTAGATGCTTTTCAATACCACGTTTTACAAAAAGGAAGATGAGATTGAATGACCTGAAAACTCTCCATCAATTCTCATGAAATTTTGAACCAAGTTGACGAGAGTTGATGGGACTTGCATGGCGGTTAAACGCGATAGAAGAACATACTCACCAATTGTGCTTTCATTTCTTTCGTGTACTCAGCGCTTTTGTTTAAAAGCCATTCTCGTTGATAATCCATGGACAGTAATTTCTTCATATCTTGTGAGTCATCCAAACACGTCACGTTGCTTTTTCTGAAACGAACGTTCAATTCAACTTGAAACACTTCATCACACAATGACACAGCACATATACTAATGAAATTGTGGTCAACCCCACAAATATTCATTCTATATCAAACGACGCTGAGAGTTGATTTGGCAGTCACAAATTGTTACAACCTTTATTTTAGTAATCTTCAACTGTCCCTAGATCATGATATGTTGTCACTCGAATACATGATATCATACTCTACTGTCAACTCTGCTCATTCTTGTTTCATCCAGACTTATTACATTTTCTCATAATAGGGCTTAGTAAAACCCACCTATACACTGCAGTAACTGCAGTTCGTACTATTTAGAAACTTACGCTTAATATTCTTGAGAAGAGTTGAAACGTTTATTAAACAAATTATTTTCATCTACAGTAGATCTTGAGTCTACTCAATAGATAAGCAAAAAGATTGACATCCATTGAGACTTACAGTTTGGGCAACTTCATCGCTTCTTTCAAAGCTTTCTTTGATGCATTTTTCTTACAAATTTTTGGCAGTTTGACAGATCTTCTCCGAGATGTTTCTTCTGTGGTTTCTTTTGCTTCCCTAGCAGGAGCAATAAAATGACATCTTGAGAAATAAAGTGTCACCATGAAGCACTGACATGCAGCAGATGCCACTGGCAACCTGCACTTATTCATTGCAGCAGAATTTCAGAATTCAGAATTTTGTTCCTTTTTTTTGGGTCAGGGGTGCTGAATGTGGCAATAACTGGCAAACTGACCTTTCCCAAATTGTCATTGTATCATAACCCAGCATTGGTTTCTTTTTTGCCTCCTGGCCATTGGACAATTCATTCTCATTTGTTTCCATGGCAACCTCTGTGGTGTCATCACCAGGTTCATCATGAACATACCATTCAGGTAAAACAACATAGCTGTAAAGAAAAAGATAGCACATCAGGGTCAGTGTGAAATTTTTGAAGTTTTAATTTGAAACATGCATCACCTGAACTACATTCTGTAGTCAGTGGTGGACACTAGGAGCCAGGGGGTAACCCTAATCCCCCCTCCAAAATTTTGCAAAGTTTGTGCCACTAGTAGAGAATTGATCACATTTGTCACCCTCAACTAACAATGAAAAATTTGTTATATTATGTGCAGTGCAGTACATACTCTTTAAAAGCAGATTTCTGTTTGTCATTCTTATCTTCTTCTTGGCTCTCATTCTGGCCATGATCAAACCAATCCACTCTGGGATATAGCACCGGTTCTGAGGAAAGCTTAGCTGGCATGAAACTTAGTAAATCTGGAATAAATCATTAGAACATATAACATGTCATTAATGTGATGAGAAATGTTTCAGGGACAGTCAGAGGATGTATTCATAATGTATAGGCAAATATCACATAATATATGATTGAATTGCTCTCATGCACTGAATTAGTTATTTCTGAACAAGACAGACATGATCAATCTTAATGGTGTATTCCAGTATAGGTAGTGAAAGCTTCACATTGTTAGGAATACAACTAAATACAAGGAGAACGTCAATGTTTTGAGCCCCTTTATCGAGAAGTGAGTAGCCCAACTATATGAACTTTCCTCAAAACATTGAAGTTCTCCTTGTATTTTTTTAGATATGATGAATCCATCAGTTGATCTGTCTTTAATTATACAGAATGTGTTATGCTAACAAGCATCACATTATTTAATTCTTCTTAAACTATCCTAATGATGGACTAATGTCTAGATCCTTGCTGTATGCCAAGGGTTGTCTTTGGCATTACTTTTTCGTCCTCCAGCTTTTGCAAGCTTCACATATTTGGAGTCTGTATCTCTTATCCATTTCCTTCTGAAACATCGATCATTATCATCTGTGATGGAGTCTTCTGGTATGTTACTTAAGCCAGGTATCTGAGACTGAATGGGAGCCATCACACTCGGAGGGTTTTTAGATTTGGCAGCTGGTATATGATAGAACCAATCTGAAATATCAAGCTACCAATTTTAGCATTGAGTTTAATTAATGTAATTTCCAACCTTCTATACGCAATTTTCCGTAATAAAGAGTTTTACATGGTGGTCAAATGTATACACTTTATAAGATTGTGCAAAACCCAACATTTAATCCGATAAAATAGATCACTCTATACAATAAATATACCATATACGTACACGCTAAGTGGAAAACTGACTTTCTACACTCTATGATAATATAAATTAAATAATATAAACTACATATATATGTGCAAGTAGGGCAAAATAAACTACAAATACTGTAAAGTGCAAAAATAAAATTAAAAAATTTGAACTTTTGCCAAACAGTGGCAAACACCCGCGCTGTCTACATCAGAATTTCTAAATATTTTATACTTAAAACACAAAAATAAAACTAGAAACTATACCTTGGGTAGAAATGTGTGGATTAGGCATGGCTTTCAACGACTTTCAGCTCATTTTCAAGACGAAAATTTCATGAAATCACTGAGTGAGTTCTGAGCATGTTGACCTTTTGCTCGCGCCATGGTAACAAACACAACTACACAAATCACATACGTCAGAATGCGATTATCGGCTTAGTTATGCCAATAAACGCCTCCCTGACCTTTAAAACAACATACATCGAATGTAGTTGCCCTTTATTCCAAGAAATGCACACAGCGTTTATTTGAGATATTCATATTATTAAATCTTTCACAAATGTACCACATTGAGAAAATATCTTGTTTTACACAATTAAATATTTAGCTAGAAACAATAAATACAATAGGAAAAGAGTCAGTGTTCAATGTTTGGTGTTCAGCGCAGAATGAAAGCCTGGGTTCAAGGTTGCATGGTGTTCAACTGGAAATGCATTGACTCATACAGGGACAAACAAATCTCGTAAATTAGAGATATCTTCAAACTTCATATTTCACAATAATTCTCCTGATAAGTACTTGCACCTCTGCTAGGCATGGCAGGCATACATGCATGGTGATTTTCTACTTTACAAGAAAACATATTATCAGTCTTGCCATCTTTTCCATGCAAATAATTTTCTCCATACTCTTTCTTCAATGCCGCAATAGGATCAGATGGTGTCGGATATAGTTTACCATTTACTCGGATATTCACAAACTTTACATTGTCTGGGGATTTAATTGTTATTTCAACTTCCATTGAAGACGAGAAATTTGGTGCTTGTACTGCAAGTGTAATAGTATCACCATTGACATTATGCTTATAGCCATTTGTTGAAGCAAATTTTGTGATTTCGGTTTTTGTTCCAAATACTGATAACTGAATCGAATTCAACTGTCCCCATGGTAGAATAGATTTAGTCATAACTGCTCCAAATAACGTTTCACCTCGTAATGCAAACACAATGCTAGCTTTGCGCATTTGCTCTGACACAATTTCCAGGGTGTGGATGGCTTGTTTAATCACAAACGGATAAGCAAACATCCCATCATTATACCAATTGGGAAATTTGAAATCTTTTAACATATTCTCAGTTGTACAAATATTTGTGGATCTAGAACCATCACAAATACTGTAAATTTTATTTTCAGGATTTTTAAACTGCATAACTTGATGTTTTCTTGCAAAAGGTAATACATTCTCCATATTAGCCGCATTAGAAATCTCCTGTAGTACACACAAGTTTTGCTGGACAAACAAGACTTCGGGACGATTTGCGGTTGTCAGTTCACGCTTTTTTGCACGAAGGAAAAAATCAACAAACATGTAATCTCCGGCTTCCAGATCTTTATCAAATAATTCATCATTAAATTTAGCAATAATTTCTTTTCGAGCCATAAAGGAGTGACTGACCTCGTCACAAATCATAATTTCACCAAAACTTCGTTTGTATTCATATTTCTGGGTTATTGTCCAGTTACATAGGTTTAATGAGTAACAAGGCACCACTAGCTCGTTGTTGCTATGCAACACTGATCCACCAATGATATCTACACCTGGAGTGACAACCAAAGCATGGTGTAGCCATTCGATGCCTGTGTCTGAGCCTTTAGGCTCAATAATAAAATTTGGGTGCATGACAAAAAAGTATGGGGTATTTATTTGTTTTATTGCCTTGTTCAACGCTTCTGCTCTGTTGCGAAAATTGCCGACCGTAGTAACACCTGATACCAATTTAATGTTCTCTGTATTTGTAGTAACAACAGTTTTAAGGATTTTTGCATTTGGAAAAGCAGTTTTGATTGATTTAACTTGATTTTTAATGCATGACCAAGAATCCTTATTATCAGCTACATATAATGAAATAAAAGTGACATTTCTCGCCATATCCAAGCCTTGTACTTGTGTATCGTTATGAGTAACAATATGAGTCGCAGGAATACGTGGAAATGCTCCAACAACTTTGTCTTCACACGTTTGATGTATGTTTTCTAATTGAATTTTCAAAGTCTCAGCTTGGGAGTTCAGTTGTGTTATCTCGCTTTGCAACTGTTTATTGGCCCAGAAAATCCCCACAGATATCGCCACTAACACTAGACAAGTACAATTCAAAGCTTGCCCAACAAAGCTCATCTTTTTTGTAGATTTTTTCAATTTTAAAAATATTTTTTGTGCACGATTTTATGTTTTTGTGTTCAATTCACAAGTACCAGTAAATTTCCTGCCTGTGCTTCCATTTTATCAACAATCATACAACATAGTGGAAGCATCGTATACGATATCATATATTATCATACAGCATCATATGCTATCATATACTATCATATAAAATCATATAACATCATATACTATCATACAACATCATATACTATCATACAACATCATATACTATCATATAACATCATATAACATCATATACTATCATACAACATCATATGCTATCATACAACATCACATGCTATCATACGATTAATATGGCGACCAGTGCTTGCAGATCACTTCATGGGCAACAATGTTTATATAAATTTAAACCATGGATAACCTCGTTATCTTTCATTTTTCGTCAATATCACGCCGTAACTTTGAACACTAACACATGTTGTTTCAGTGGAACATTTTGGAAGAGCCATGAACGAACGAACCGTTTAACAAAGAATTATTTTTCAAACAAGCCTCATAGAGTGTCTGTTGTAGTATCGCGTGGACCCCTCAAGTGGATTTCAAATAAATTTAAACTTTTCTTAGTGAATTCCTACTTTGATGCAGATTTTGATGAAGAAACGTTTCTTGAAGGCGCTAAACAGGTTCCAATGCATTTGTGTAAATGTGTTTAGACTGCAAGCAGAGTGATCTCAATGAAACAAGCTAAATAGGGATGCAACTGCCTGTCTACCTGAAAATATATATAAATATAAGGAGAATTTACTCCAGATGCTAGTAAACTTCAGATGAAGGGCCTTCGCTCAAAACGTCGAATTCTCCTTATATATTTTCAGGTAGTTGAATCCCTCCCAATGAAAGCCTTGCAAAGCTTGTTCATTTCATTGACACTGCACTGACAAAGACAGTTTAAGATTGATCTCAATGGAGGCTCTGCCGTGTGTTACAGTATATCAGTTTCACTTTCATATTTTTTCCAGGCTGTAATCACCGTATCAGCTTTGGTATCAGAAAGAAAATTCAATAAACTTCAGGGATTGTTGACTTGTGAGGTGTGTGGCCTAGTGGCAGATGCTTCATATTGCTGCAAGTTGCAGTTCTTTAAAACGTTAACTTAGTTACTGTCGTTCCAATTGAAGTGTTCCTCAAATATTGATTCAATACATTACCTCAGGTTGACCAATTCATTTCGTCAAGTTCCTCGAGATATTCATACACTTCCTGCGAAAGAGCCAATTCCAAGTATTTGATCATTTCTGGTCACTTCCTTTCTATTTATGATTGGTTAGTTGCACAAACAACAAAGGTGATTGGTGCATTCAAACTATTCAACAGGAAGTTTACAATTATAATAGGAAGTGTATGAATATTTTGAGGAACTTGATCAAATGAATTGGTCAGCCCGAGGTAATGTATTGAATCAATATTTGAGGAACACTTCAATTGGAACGACAGTAATAATATGCATTGGAACGTTTCAGGCAATTGAAAATTTAAAAGATGAAATGTTGAATAATGTTGAATCATATCGTATTACAATGGATGATATTCTTCAAACAAATATTCATGATATTGGATTTCAATATGACGAAGCAGGTAGTTAACTGTTTGCTTGAATTGTGACTATGCAATGTTCTTCAAATGCACTTGAAATACAACCCCCTGTTGCTTAAATGGTCAATGGTCTAGTATTTTTATTTTGTAGAAAAAGGTAAAAAATGGCTTCATGTCACGGTGTCATACATATGTCAAGGTGTTGAGCAGAAGGAACGTGCAAATACAACACTTGTGAGAATTCCACTGCCACGCATCACACGATTCAGGTAAGATGCAGGGAATATTTGTATTAAAACTAGTTTGTATTAATGCTTCATGTCTATTATTATCTCATTTCAGTTTTCGTAAAGAGTGCACCACTGGAGTGGAAGATGATTGGATAATTACCCAAGTTATAAACTTTAAACAAGACCAGTGGCGGAAACTAGGGGGAGGGCAAGGGGGATAATTTTAGCTAGCTTTCATGTTGAAAAATGTGACCAATGTGAAAAATGTGACCGGATGACATAAAACATCACAAGTATAGGTGCACTTTGACCTTTAGAATCGATTTCTGGCATTTCCAGAGTCATATGATACAAACATTGCATTGTTTTGACGTTTTTCTAGTTGGGATCAGAAATGGAAATACCATGATAAAAGATTCAAACTTGAAGATACAAGCTCGAAAATGACACTCCCCCCCCAACGTTTCACAAAGTTTCTGCCACTGAACAAGACACAGTTAGATGACAGATTTACTTAACATCAGTTGAACTGTCAGTCTTGGTATCTTGCAACTGGTCTGAAGATGGCAATATTCAAGAATCTCATGCGAACGTAAACAGCTTGTCTCAGCTGTCTGTATAACACTGTAGAGCCTAGAGTCTTGGAAAAACACCCTGAACTGTAGTATGCCCAACACGAGACCAAGGGATTGTACATCAACTTTATATGAAGTGCTGCTTTTTTTATGATAGTTTTGTATATATTCATGTAACAAAATTAAAAGTTTGTAAGACACAATATATATACTACATGATTTTTGACACATTGAAAGTGCAGATTTGAGAAAAAGCAATTGAAATTACTTTGCCGCATTATATTATATCCGTACGTTATCCGTTGTCCTTGCTTCCGCCATCCGCGAAACGCTCAGTGCACGTGCACGTAACCTGCGATCAGGCGTGCACGCCAACCCAAAATGCATTCTGTTCTACACGTTTACTCTATCAGTGGTTTACTCACATGGGCAGCATGGCCGAGATTTGAATCAAAATTTTCCAGTTGTATTTGCTCAGATTTCTTGATATGAAGTGAGTTCTTTTACTCTGGCATAATGGAAAGATTATCTCCGATTATTTTTGGGACCTTTACAGAGGAAGAACAGTTATTGTACTTTTCTGACGAGGCTGTAAAATCAAGCGGTATAGAATTTCCTGAAGATTTCCACTTTCACACTTCAAGCGAACCTTGTAATAAGCCAGATTACACTCAAACTGATATTTCATCAACAGTTGAAAATGTGGACAATAATGCTGGATTGAACACTGAAAATGAGCTACGGGAGAATTTATGCCCTGAAAAGGAGACCCCAAGAGAATTTCTTGCAAGCCAGAATGATGATCAAGCACATGATAATAATGAGGTTTCAGATAAATACGATATTTCACAGGACTCTAACCTTATCCCAACTACCCAAGAGCAAATTGTGTCTTGTGGAGAGAAAAATATTGCAGATGAAAGCGCGCCAAACAATGTTACGTTACATAAGAATGTTGAAAATGGCCCTGAGCCAGTTAAAACCTCTGTACAATCTGACAATGCAACAAATGTTGTCACTGTTGGTACAAAAACCATGTTCACAACATCAACTAGAACAGTGGAATCTCGAAATGAAGGTGTAAAGAGCTTATGGGCAGACCTCTTCAAAACCAAACCCTCCAGCAAGCCACAGGGTCCATTACCGAAGCTCCAAGGACCACTACAACAACCAGACCATAGTCTCGAAGATAGCTTAGCAAAAAAAGACCAATTTCAACAGTATTTCTTGGATGTCCTCAGGAAAGTCTCATTGACCAATCAGGTTCCATCGTTACAGCCTCGTGGATTAAAGAACAATGGTAATTGGTGTTATATCAACTCTACGCTGCAAGTTCTACTATTCTGCCCATCATTTTACCATTTTCTTATGAAATTTAAGCTCAAAACTGAACGTGGTATAAGCCATACGCCAATACTTGATGCACTAGTATTGTTTGCCAGCCAGTTTAATGAAATACCTCCACAACAATCCACTGGGAAATCTCGTGAGTGGAATAAGCAGGAAATTGTGATGGGCATGCCGTTTGAGCCAAGATATGTTTATAAAATGTTGAGTCAAGTCAAAACAACGTTATCACAACAAGGAAAGCAAGAAGACGCAGAAGAGTTTCTTAGCTGGATCCTGAATGGTTTGCATGATGAGATGGTGCAACTTACGGGCGACAAGACGCAACAAGATGCAACAAGTAATGACGTAGTTGCAGAGCAAGTTGGTGACTGGGAACAAGTTGGGCCTCGGAACAGATCAACAGTTACGCGGAAAGCAGCCATGTCTAAGTCGCCAGTTGCAGCAATGTTTGGCGGGTACTTGAGATCGTCATTAGTTCAAGCTGGCATGAAGGAATCTGCAAGCATCCAGCCCTTCTTCACCATTCCCTTGGACCTTCGCGGGGAAGTAAATACGGTCCAACAAGCTTTTGATAATTTTTTCCGAGTTGAAGAAGTCGAGGGCTTTCAGTGTGATAAAAGCAAAACGGAAGTTGAAGTTTCCAAGAAATGGACACTAGACACTTTGCCTGTTGTGTTAGTGTTACATCTCAAACGATTTGTTGTCAACAAGAATGGTTGTGAAAAGCTAACAAAGAAGATAAGCTACGAGCCACAGATTCAAGTACCGGCAGAAACATTATCGAAAGTGAATAAAGTCAGAAGCAAGAATATGTTGACATATAAGCTTTTTGCCGTCACATATCATCATGGCAAGAACTTACATGGAGGACACTACACGTCAGATATTTCTCATCCAGCAGTAGGCTGGCTCAGAGCTGATGACATAAATGTCAGACTGGTTCCACCTAAGTTTGTGTTTCACCCATTGTCAAATCGAGATCCGTACTTACTGTATTACTGTCGAGGTGACATCTAAGGTGGATTAGAAACAATTTTTGAAAAACAAACGCTTGTAATTGAACTGTTGTGTGGTTTTGCATGACCACGCTGTGAATACGAGAACAATACATTCTGTAAAGCGTAGGCAGTTGCAGTGTTAACCAGATCTTGATCAGTAAGGGTTTCGTAAAAATTCCCAGGAAAATGTCTGACCAAAATAAAATGCACAATATAGTTAAAATGCTTTTTTAACAATTGAACAAGCTTTTGTTGGTAAGAATTGTATTCTTGTGTGATTCGGGCTCCTAGCGACTATCAATAGATCCATATACTGCAACAGCCTGACAAAGTGAGCATAATTACTTTCAGTGTCAAAGTTTTTTTTTAAATAATAAAAATGTCTGTTTATGTATCAAAAATGAACCAACAGGAACAGTTTTATTACAAATTCTTAATTGTGGCCTTGAAATATTCATTTTACATCATGGCAGTCTATGAGGGATACACTCAGGTGTATCCCTCAAGCATCTTGAAGTTTTAAATAATATTACACGCGTGCATGTTAAGCATACTGTCCTACAGCTATATATTGTTAATATCCTACAATAAATAAAAATAGTCCATGGAATTACACATCAATTGTGTACAATATTATTCACATATACAGAATTCCTAAATGCATGGCTCAAGTTCTTAATATGACTATGCTATCTCCAGTCTAACAACATGATATTTATTCCTTCGTCTGGATAAAAATGCAGTTCTGCATAAATTGCGGACGGACCATCCATTACGGGAGGCAGGCGTGGTCGGTCTACTGCGCAACTCGAAATACGGTATTAGACAAACTAACACGAAAATACCGATGCTCGACCCAGGCTCTTTTGGAAAATACGGTGCATGATTTACCCGTTCTCAGTGCAATCTCGAACCCAGAGCAAACATGCATGCCCTGGGTTCGAGATTGCTGTCAGTGAGTTCAGCACAGTGTATCTGGTGCCGGTTGTATAAAAAGCTTAACTGCCCGTTCTGTAGAAAAATACTAGTTAACTCTCAAATACGCGATTACGATTGGTTAATTTTTGCCCCAAGTGTAAAAGTGTTGATAACTACTTTTTTATACAATTGGCCCCTGTAATATAAATCTGGCCATTATAAATATCTGCGATTGTAGCTAATCACATAGTCAAATTCCATCCAATACAAAATGCGAGTGTATTAATTAAGTATTGATATCAATAAAGAAGGTTTTTTCATTCCACTCCACCAGAGGTGCTGTGTTGCGTGCCAATATGTCTGCCAATTTTGTGTCTCGATATTTGGACATTCTGTCATTAGTCGGCTCCAGATACGGGTTTTCAAACCAAAAACGATCCCCGTCGCGAAGTAATTGAAATTGCTTTGTAATAATGGCGGCGAATGTTTCTCCTACGCACCCCCCTGGCAGGCGAGATTCTGCCAGACCAGCAATCCATAAGTCAACATCGTTAATATCTGGATACAAACTTTCTAATTTCCTTCGGACGACTTCATCTGATGTGATCTGAGCAAATGATGTTCTGGCCTCGAGACCCAGAGCTCTGCGCACACTGTTATAGTCAGCCAAGCCATGATCACGTCCTCGTTGAATGCCGTACGTCATTAAATCAAGGCCTTGGGTATTTGTACCGAACAAGAAGTTTCGAACTGCGTCGACCAACAGAATGTCCACTTTCTGCGCTTGTTGACGCAACATACCACGAAGCAGCGGTTCAATCCCTGAAATAAGAAACAGTTTTTATATAAAATAGAATGTTCCGCGAGATTTAGTGTCCGTTTTAGACAGAGATGGATATTGCAAGAGGGAAAGTTTATACAGACAGATTACCTGTTTCCGAGAGTACGCGGCCAGGATTGAAATATGCATCTCTCAGATCCAGATTTCCAGCGTTGGACAAAATATTCCAGTCATCATCCAGTCGTAACATGGTATTACCAACTTGACTGTGACCATACCGGAATGCAGCTGTGGCAAATTCGTTAAAAACACCCACTTCCAAACTTGAGTTATAACCTGATGAAAAAGCGTTAGTTAGATATAGACGCCAGTATCTTCTCTGTTAGAGTAGTGAGAGGGACTGCACCTCTCACATCGTTGACTGTACTTGTTATTATGTATATTTTCCTTACGTTCTATTCAAAAGCTTACCATCGTATTCTGGAATCTTTTTGAACGCTTCTTGACCAATGACAGTTGGAAGAAACTCGTACCAGACCACTGCCTGCCACTTTGCGCGCGTGATTGTTCTGGCATGTTGGAACAATGTTTCGTCATCATAACGTTCTAATGCTTGAAGTTTCTTGAGTTCATCGCAGACTAAATTATGTTCACGTGCCCAGATTGTGTGAAGACAGATCAGGCCAGGTTGCACATTCACGCGTGGATCTCCCGAAAGCAAGAGTTTCTCGCGTGGGCCGCCAAGAAGGTTGAGATTCGGTAACTGTTTCGTGTTGAAAGGCAAGTTGTGTTCCCATTGTTCCCGAAGTTTACCGTCTATTCCCGAGCGGAGAACTGAAGCACGCTCATCATCCGAACCATAGACAACAGAGAGATCAATGAATGACGATACCTTGTTAACCTTTCAAAGAAAACAAAATGTTACCATAGACCTATCACGTGATCTGTCTGTGTATAAACTGCGTAATTTAGGGACCTCCTCAACACTTCAAGAGTCTAAATTTAAAGGTACTGTTTGTAATGATGGTGCCACAATGGTTAGTGTGTATTTCAACTCTGCTGTAGTTATTGCCTGAATATAATTCGCTTCATTATCATGTGAATTTTCCTGCTGTACTTACATGTTTTATGCGTCACAAGGGAGGTTTTGACAACATTTAATTTCACAGTGAAGAAATATCTACCTGTTCTCGCGCTATTCCACTATGTTTTCCAGTGTTGGCAGCGTGTGCCGAACGCCGTAATCTCATCGTTTGTGTACCAGTGGAGTAAGGATCAAACCATGGGTCCCCTGTGGGAATTTTAATTGCAAAATTTTCTGTCGGCAACATGTTCGCATAGGGGGTCGAGAAGTCGATATCGTGAGCAAGCAACTGACCAAAGTGCATGTGTATCTGATTGAGTCCCGTGGGGCTGAACACATCAATCTTCTGATTTCCTAAGACATTTGAAATATTTCTTGGGTTTGGACGATGTTGGCCAGCCGGAGTTTCAAAATGATCTTGATAGCCAGGTGTGGATAATCTCATTAGAGGACTGAGAGCTCGACCTAAGTCAGGATGCTTTAGGTTGTTTGCAAAGCCACTAAATGTCGCCCATAGCTCCTGGGATGGATCGTTTGTCTCTAACTGGTTCTGCACATCGGAGGTATCAACCTGTCAAAAGAATCATTTCAACCTGTCAAAAGAATCATCAGCATCATACATTGTGCGCGTCTCAATTATTTTCGCCTCATTTCAAAAGAAGTGTTTTTCATATTTCAAATATACTAAAAGGCACTCAGAAACTGCATTCATTATGAACGTTTTATCGCTTCTTATCCAGTTTTAACCCAAATACAACCCAGAGTTTGACCAATGTGTCAATACGGCCATTAGCTCAACAAATTTTTATATCAAACTATTCGAAAATAGTAATGTTAACGATACCTTTACTTTGACTTGACCAATAGATGACGTCACGCCATCACTTACGACGTACTCAAAGCTGTCTTCGCCCGTGAAGCCTGGGGCTGGGTAATATGTCACGTGGGTTTGATAATGTAGCACTTTACCATGACTTGGGTTCTGACTGATTGACGTCACTTTCATTTTTCGACATTCTGTCAATGATTTTTCTGGTGATGATGTAATATGCATATAGTTTCGTTTTCCTCGGATATCACGCACGTGCAGCACGGTTCTTCGTGGAACATTTTCTATAATTCGTGTATTGTTCGTGACAGGCCAGTACACACGCACAGTGAAGCGCTCTGCAGTCTCGTGCGCTAAGCCATAATGGGCGGTGTTCTCCCCTTGACCTGAAAACGCTGATGAACTTCGAATTTCGCGCACAATCTCGCGATCAAACTTCGGCGAGAATAAATAGACCCAAGCACCGTGGCTGTCTCGCTCCGTGTATGCCTCGAGCACGTTGACTCGTATCCAGTCTCTGGTATGTCCTCCGTCGTTGCGGTAGAAAACTGGTTTTTCACAATTGGAAACAATGTACACATCTTGATCACCATCGTTGTCGTAGTCGAACACAAATAATCCCCTACCGTCACGTCTATCCGTGATACCCATGTTATCCCCTACTGAACTGAAACTTGAGTTTCCAGACTCAGCATTGTGATTTTCGTAAAGTAAAGTGGCCGTGTGATGCAGGAAATCAAAGTCAGTACTTTCAGTATCATCAAAACCATTCGTATGAATCAAGTCTAAGTCACCGTCATTGTCGTAGTCAAAGAAAGCTGTGCCCCAAGCCCACCAACCTGAGAATCAAGATGAAATTTATTTTCTGAGCTCCAAAATTTAAACTACTTTCCATGCTCTATAGTTTCCATGCACCTTATAATACATCTATACCCTACAATATAGATAGAAAAGCATATCATATACCCTAACTCAGACCAAAATACGCCAGACTACAAGTCAATACCATGGGAGTACTTCATCTGGGGTATTCTATCAATTACTCTAAGCTAAGATATTATTACATAAGACTCGAAGTTCAAATTACTGAAGAATTAGTTTGGTTTCCTACCTGGTCGCACTCCTGTACTGTCGGTTTCGTCCGTAAACTTTCGGTCACCTTCGTATTTGTACATGCGGTTTCCAGTGTAACCAAAGATCATGCCTCCTCCCTGACCATACGCCTCGATGTATGGTTCACGATATTCTTTACTCATGTAAATACTTGTCACGAACCAGTCTTGTCGCCCATCATTGTCGAAGTCTGCAATTGTCGAACCCATTCCGTTCTCTTCCAAACCAACTCCGGCTCTTTCCGTGCCATCCGTAAATGTGCCATTCTCAGTTCCCCAGTACAGACGACTCGTGAAAAAGTCTCCACTAACAGCCAAATCAAGGTTGCCTTGGTAGAACAAAATTTGTAAATGTTTATTAAATACGCAAAGTTTGAGGATAACATTCAAACAGTTCTTTTAAAGAACATTTCCTCATGAATGTGTATAAAATTAGCGGCGGAAACTGATTTCTCCGAAAGAAAGAATATGCATCCTAACCATATTTATTGCCCCACGCACTTACCATCGGCATCAATATCTGCAAACATGGCTGACAAACTGAATGGTCCTGGCATGACATCTTTAAACAGGCCGACGTTCTTGATTCGATATGGCGTCATATTTGTCAATCCTGCTCGTTCGTCAGCGCGCGTTCTTGGTTGGGGCTTGGTATCTAATCCAGCTTCGATTGTCACGTCAGTAAAATAACCTAAATAACCATATTTGTGTGAACATTGAGCTAGCATTAGTTACAACTCTTTATTACGCTTCAAACTAAGAGCCCTAGGTTATGAAGTCCCAGGAAAACCAAGAACCATTGTTTCCTATCAATGTTTCCCAGAGAAGGGATTCGAGGATATCATTTCTTTCTGCAAAAATTGCACTCTGAAAATATTTCGGAATTTGTTAGTAGTCATTTTTCTGCATACGAACCAATTTTTTTGCTCTCGAAATATGTAACGAATCAGAACTACCGACAAATTCCTAAACTTTTCATATGGACTCAGCAAGGACGATTCGTTTTGTTCCAACATTCCTTGTTGTTTCCGAATGAGAGGTAAAAAAGGCTCTTCGCATGTGTTATAGTATATCAAAAGAACAATTGCTTAGAGAGGCTTCAATGTCTCTCCCAATGAACCAAAGAAACTGTGTTTGCTTTGTGGTATTTTGTGATACTAACCTGGTTTTCCTTCTGCACCCAAATTTTTGAGAAGTTTTGAAAGAGAGTGATTGCTGTTTTTGTAATCATAACTTTGGTCCAGGTGTGGAAGCCATTCAGTAGAGTAAAAGTCCAACCAACCTATGAAATATAGAATAATACATCAAGGCGATTTATTCAGTTACAAGTTAACTTGTATTTATTCATTCAGTGGAGTAAAAGTCCAACCAACCTATGAAATATAGAATAATACATGAAGGCGATTTATTCATTTACAAGGAGGAAGAAGTACGGCAAAGGTGCCTTTTAACTTTCTTTTGAAATTGCTTTGCGTAAACAATAGTTATATAATGAAAATTTATTTACCGTCTTTGTTGTAATCGCCAATTGCAATCGTCATGGTTGAAGTCTTGTAAGGTGGAATGGTTGGCTTGCCAGCTAGACCACGTTGTGTTGCTTCTTCAGTGAAATGTCCCATACCATCGTTAACATAAAAGTAAAACCTATCTTCTGCTATTGTTCCAATATAAAGGTCAACATCACCATCATTATCAACATCTGCCCACGTCACACTAGAAGATCGATGGTACATGGTTTGAGTGAGGTTTGCCTCAGCTGTCACCAATTGAAAGGAGCCGTTGCCAAGGTTACGCCAAAGCTGATCATTACCATCAACACGTGCGTAGTAAATATCCAAGAGCCCGTCGTTGTCGTAATCAGCGGTGGCTCCTGCGCCTGCGCTTTGTTCGGGTAAGCAAAACGAGCCCTTGATCCATGTTTTGAGCGTTGGGTCGTATTGATCAAAAACACAGTCGGGGCTTGATGGTACCGCTGATTGAACGGCGTCCATTCCTAACTCTTGCGCAATATCTTTGAATTTGATCTCAGCATTCTTGTCTTGCACTTGATGATTTTGGACCATGCACACATCTGGCTTGTCTACGTATTTATCATTTTTTAACACGGGAATATGTATCATTCCATCAGATAATTTCATGGAAACTTCGTCCATTTCCGCCACGATTTTGTCAGGTTTCGGTCGAATAATGATCCGCACTTCATACTCTTCATTGGAAACAGTCGAGAGATTCTCATGTAAAAGAAAATAGCGGAATCCGTCTTCGCCTGAGTAGTCTAAAGCAGGCAGGTAGGAAGGCTGTAGGCTGCAGTGTTCATCAGTCTGTGTTGCCTCGTTCTGCTCACAATCAAGAGAACCGTATCCTGGGGGGTTACTGATTAGTATAGATGCAGCTGGCTTTTCGTGAAAATCTTGAATTGCAATTTTAACATTGGTGTCTTCATCTGTGGTTACAGTGAACTGCTTAGCACATGAGCTCGTAACTGATGCTTCTGTAAGAGTAGAGAGAAAACAAAAAATATATAAAATAGCAGTTATAGCGTTAGAGCATTCCTGTGGGCCTTTGCGTCCTATTGTTCCAACCCGCAAGCGCTTGCCCTTTCGAAGCAAACCTGGAATTTGAGAAGAAATACTAAAGGCTGAGACTCATTGTCTGAAAATGAAGTTTTTTAATTCACTGTTTCTCCAATTATTTTGCAATTTTAAAATAATATAAAGAAGAATAAATTGAAAATATTCCACTTATTTGATCAAATTGAAAAGAAGAAATTTTCAGTTATTTGAAGGAAAACAGGACATACCACAAATTATTTTAAGTCCATCTTGACGTAAGTCCAGGTGGGGGGTCTACAATGTAATCTGTAGATGTTAGATTTACCGTGACCAAGTGGTTCGTTCACGTTCACACAGGGATACCAAATATTTCAGTCTGCCCAAAGGTAATACTAAATTGCTCAATTTTAGTATATTCATTGAAGAATGGCCGAAAATTCTTATTAATTGAAGTATAATAGAAATATTTGCGACAAACTGTGCAGTGTGACTTAACAATACCAAATACTGTTGGATGTTCTCTAAAACGGCAATATCACGTAGCGGGTAATCGAGATTGGGGTTTAGAGTTATATCCAAATTTCTGGCATGTACTGTCTTACTTAATATGCAGATTTGTTTAACTAATTAAACTTGGCAGGAAACTCGTTATCTCTTTGCTGTAATTGAAACTTTATATATAGAAAAATATTTCAAGTATTCCTTGGTATATTCATGTTCATTAGATTGCTTTCTATAAAGAGTTGTCATAACAAAACCAAGTGTGTGGAAATTTCTAGTTTTTTCTTTATGTGTTCATTGTGTTCATTGTAAATGAAGAATTTCTTCAGTTTTTTCCCACAACTCTAACGGCAGAAAATAGAAATAATTGATTGAAAGAAAAGTATTGATCTTATCGGATGGTTCTAAGAACCCTTTCATCTTCATTTGGAATTAGATCAAGGAGCAAGATTGAATTTCTTCGCTTTGTTTTTCCGGCCATCATTGCTATGCAGAATGTTTGGAAGAATCGTTTAACTATTGAATGTTAATTCTTTGAGATATTCAATTTTCTATCAAATGTTATATTAATGTTTGATCCTGAAGATACTGTATGTGGAGAGAGTTAAAAAATGAAATAAAGTGGCTTTAGTCATTAGTATGTCAGAGTGGTTTATCATAAATCCATCGCTGCAGTTCAAAGAGACTCTTACAATGAGCTTCATATCTTTGCATATTCTTTGTTCTGGCTCAAGATATCGTCCTTACGACAGCTAATTATAGATAATAATGAGTAAATATTACTTGTTTATCAACAATAGGATTTGAGTTTAATGTTCCTTTCAGAAATTTTCTTGCTCTGTATTGGACATGTTGATTAAGGTAAATCCTGCTTTAGGTGATTTCGTTAGGAATCGTTTAGTGTACAATACTTGTGGTATGACGGAGTTGTGATGTATAATGATGTTGTTATAATCTCCTCATTTTAATCCCCCGTTCCAGTGAACTCCATGTAAATCGAGTTCACACGACTCTACAACAAGGTCCAACACTGCTGTTCAAATAATGTTAGCAAATGTTGGATGAAAATGTTAAATCCAATCCAACATCTTGCAACATCATCCACCATAGCATTGAAACGAGGCGAACGATGTTGCAGGCGATGGATTATGTTGGAGCAGTTTCGTTGAATTACGGGCCTTTATATTGGACTTTTTTCAGGTACAGTACACAGTTCTGCAAGCTAGAAAAGGAGTCATAAATTTTTCGTTCAAATTCACCAACATCTGATCGGTTGTTGACGCTAATTTTATTCATCACAGAAACGTTTTAAGGCGTCTAACCAGTGTGGACAGCGAAGGTATTAGCTAGAGAGCGTTTTAGAGACCACTTAAGTGCTAACAAGAATCTAAAGGATAATGGGCATGCCATATATACTTGATACATTCTAAACTGTTGGCACGTGAATGTTAATCTGATCTGATTTTTTCTGAAAATTCCTATAAGCAAGGGAAAATGTCTTGCGAACTAGGAAACGGTTGATTTCTCGCGTGGTTCCAGCGTTAATTTACCCGACGCCTTTATTTTAAGAGTCAAATGTATCTGAATGATACTGAGTTAGTAAATTTGACACATTGATACAAACTGTAACTCTTTCCTTCATTTGTGAACGTCGGTGAAACAGCAGGGGCAGCCCTGGCAGAAAGAAGAGCGGAACTCCTCGAGGGGGTACTGTTTCAAATAACGACAACAAATAAATTCCAAAAATACCCAAAAGCTTTCAAGCCATTCCAACATTGTACATCAATGTTGGTGCCACAGTGTTGGACGATAATTTTGAATCAAGTCAAACGTGATTAAACATTTATCAGGCAACATTTCCCAACAAAATGTTGAAATAGAGCTAACAATACTGCATTGAACAAGAAGGAGGAAGTTGTATCAACAATGTTGAACTGCTTTCCACGAGCCATCACGTTCTCTCCAGCTACTTGTCCTTTGCTACAATTATATTGATTGCAAAAGCTTTAATATTTAATAAATAATGTTCTGCGGATTGCCAATGCTAATTGCAAAGCATATTATAGTTTATTGTTATACAGGAAGACAGCATTTAAACATAAAATAGATCAGTTGTACTGTTTCAAATAACGACATTTAAACCTAAAATAGATCACTTGTACTGTTTCAAATAACGATAACAAATAAATTCCAAAAATACCCAAAAGCTTTCAAGCCATTCCAATATTGTACATCAATGTTGGTGCCACAGTGTTGGACGATAATTTTGAATCAAGTCAAACGTGATTAAACATTTATCAGGCAACATTTCCCAACAAAATGTTGAAATAGAGCTAACAATACTGCATTGAACAAGAAGGAGGAAGTTGTATCAACAATGTTGAACTGCTTTCCACGAGCCATCACGTTCTCTCCAGCTACTTGTCCTTTGCTACAATTATATTGATTGCAAAAGCTTTAATATTTAATAAATAATGTTCTGCGGATTGCCAATGCTAATTGCAAAGCATATTATAGTTTATTGTTATACAGGAAGACAGCATTTAAACATAAAATAGATCAGTTGTACTGTTTCAAATAACGACATTTAAACCTAAAATAGATCACTTGTACTGTTTCAAATAACGATAACAAATAAATTCCAAAAATACCCAAAAGCTTTCAAGCCATTCCAATATTGTACATCAATGTTGGTGCCACAGTGTTGGACGATAATTTTGAATCAAGTCAAACGTGATTAAACATTTATCAGGCAACATTTCCCAACAAAATGTTGAAATAGAGCTAACAATACTGCATTCAACAATTAGGAGGAAGTTGTTCAACAAAGTTGAACTGCTTTCCACGAACCATCACGTTCTCTCAAGTTACTATATTGTCCTTTGCTACAATTATATTGATCGCAAAAGCATTAATGTTTAATAAATAATGTTCTGCGGATTGCCAATGCTAATTGCAAAGCATATTATAATTTATTGTTATACAGGAAGACAGCATTTAAACCTAAAATAGATCACTTGTCAAGTTCCGAACATACTTCTATTTAGGAACTTTGGAAGAAATTTGTTTCGGCAAATTAAAGCTACTGAGTATGAACAATACATTACTTGAGTAACGTTATTGCTGTCAGAACACGCGCCATCAGTTCGGTGAAGTTATGACGCGCAACTTCGGTTCTTTCATATGAAAAGAAATAAAACAGCACTTTTCTCCCATCGCAACAGACTATTCTTTAAGGCCATATATGTAAATAGAAACCCTAAGTTATATTGTACGACACCATTAAGCGGTATATTAAATTAGCGGCTTTAATATTAGCGCTGCCGCGCACATCGAAAAGTCCGCGTCAAGGGCTCTCATAGAAAGCAGTTCTCATCAATCTGTCTGCCAGGATGAATTAAAATCAACAACGAAATACCTAATTAATTTAAAAAATTCACCATAACAAAATGATTTAGTTCAATTTTCCGGGAGAAAGATTTTGGTGGACCTTTAAATAGAATGCATTTTTCCCATGAAGTTATACCTCTGAAAACCTAAATTAATCTCGCTCAATGAAAGCAGTTTGAATAATCCTGAGTTTAAGAGAAGTTGTTTCTATTTCGTCAGAAAACGCCCAAGTTCGAAGTTCAATATCTACTTACCAGTCATGATCAGAATGAGAACGGATATCAGCGCAAAGCAACCTGGAACGATTCTTCTTGGTTTAACGTTCATTTCGTAAAGATAACCAATTTTATTCACTTTATTATGTTTCCACTGGAAAGAGATCTTTACGGGGTGGCTTTACACCTCAAACTAAAATATTCTTTGACTAGCAGGCGTACATAAATGGAACAATTATTTATCAATTTGCACAATTGACTTCACACTTGATGCCCTTCAGTGCAATTTTGATGGACTAATCGCCATTGCTACCATGGCAACCATTCAATTGCAAAGTTGCGTAGGACGAGCGCTTAATTTGCTACTTTATGCTTACTCCCCAAAGAATTTATGCTAAAGTGTTTCCAGCTAGAGACTAGAGTGGTTTTAAATGTATCAATTACCTAACAACTGATGTGAGTTTTATTTCACTGTTGTAGATCTCAGCAGGATGCGATGGTCTTTTGTAACTCACAGTTTATTAAATCTCTCTAACGATGTCTCCTATTGTTCCGCAATCATGTATCTGTCGGGGTCTTCAAAAATAGATTCAATTCAATAGTTGATCATTTTATACATTGTTCGCTTAAGGAAGATTCAATGTGATTGATGCTAATTAATTGCTGTTTGAATGACGTGTAATGTACATTATAACGAAATGATTACTTTGTTCAAGAAGGCAACAGATCATGTCTTAGCGCTATTTAACATATTGATAAGCCATTGAAGGCCATTGCATATAATAATAAAAGAAATACTACAATAAGCAACATAGCCGGTCTTCCATTAATAATCCACTACCGCTCCCAATGAGGGACCATTAACCAATCAGGTGCTTTAATCTACACGATTAATCAATCACATGTGTAGGTATAGTACAAATGTAGACTTTGATTACACCACATCACATGACGATGATTCATGTACATTATTTCTGGAAAAGGTCTCAACTTCACACACATATCCTTGACATTCCCTCTGTGTAATCAGGGTCCATGACAATATACAATGTGAGAGATATGAAGAATGCAATCATTGAGCGGAATTTTCCCACTGACGTACTTAAGAGTATAAAGAACTCATAGACAGTCAACTATGAATGTGTCATCATCAACAACAGACAAAGACAGAAGAGGAGGCTTGAAAGAATGCCAGGACATTTTTCTGATACAAAATTATATTTCTTTCTCTTTGCTTTCAAGCCAAGGCCCCGGATGTTAGTTATTAACTATATAGTTTGCTATCCAGGTTTTTCAGGTGCTAACAAACCACAACAGTTCATTCAGTATACTTGACCTCCCACGTTTGAGATATCATACAGCATCATGGAAAACTATTTTCACTTCTTAGTATTTTCTGATTGTGTGGGCACATTTTGTTGTGGTATAACTATGTGAATGTGTTTTAACTTTTTATGTCAAAAAACGAATATAAAGTATTGGAAGCACCAAATTTAAGTTTCAAAATTTGTCATATAGGATGTTTGTTGGTTTAATAATACATTGGAAAAGAAGATTGTTCATTTATAACAAGTTGTTCAGGTTGTCTATTTTTCATATAAAATAAATCCCAATATCTCAAGACTGTAAAATTAGGATGTTATTCTGTAAGATATATTACTAGGATATTATTCTTCCTTCAAACTTAATTATATAATATGTAATTGCACCAACACAAATTTGCAACGACCTACGCAGTTTAAGCACCGCCTCAAAGAAGTGAATTCTTTCATTAAGACATTTCTTTCATTCCGTTTCTTGTTGCTTGGGATGCTACCATCGCCTTTTTAGTCTTTTTTACTAATATGTTGGCTGAGTGCCGCTTAGGGTAAAAAATAATTTAATTAAAATTATAGCCATTGTCATTGAGGGCCCTGACAATTGATTAGTTCATTAGTTCTTTATTATAGTTCCGTTATCATTCTAAGATAAAGATGCAAACTATATATCAATCTGCTTTTAATTTATTGTTTATATTTGATTATTACTAACAGTTTTTATTCTGTGTCTGGGCGAGCTTTAAAAATATGCCCGGCCACGGTGGGAATCGAACCTACGACCTTTGGAATACTAGCCCAATGCTCTGCCAACTGAGCTATGCGGTCAGGTCGGTTCGAGTACGTGATATTTCGGAACAGAATCTAGTTCCTTCGATACCAATGGCAATGTAATCTAGTAATATGATTTTTTACAGTTTGTTGGACTATTAAACAACACTTGTGGCAATGACAACGACAAAACCAGGTGATAAAATGTAATCTAGTAATATGATTTTTAACAGTTTGTTGGACTAACAACACTTATTGTGGCAATAACAACGGCAAAACCAGGTGAAAGAAAGACAGAAAATTCACAACAAAGACACTTTTAAAAACTGTTATTTTTAACTCAACTATTAAAAACCGACAAAGAAAAGTGGTGGGCAATGATGAAACAAAAATGAAAGATAAAAAGATTTCATTGAATTTCCGGCCACTTGAGGAGAGACTTGGCCGAATATGGCCAAACCGGCACTCTTTGAGGTTAGCGCGAGCCCGCAGTCTAACTGGAACAAAGTCGCTTTCCCGTTATTGAAAGATATATATAATAGGTGATAAATGCGGAAAGCGTTGGTTATTGTTATAGTATAGTCGATGATAAACATCAAAATACATGTCGGTGGCATTTGTGGTCAACCCGAAATAGTAATTATAGCTACCAGCCCCGCACGCCCGCGTGGAAATATCATTGAAATATGAATATTTTAAAAGGCCTCCAAAAGTTCTTTAAATATATCTCAAAGTTTTGTTGCCAAAATATTGTTGCTTACGTCACAATAATATATTCTTTAAACACGAGTGTTTGAGATTTAAACTCGTTCTAACATTAATTGTATATCGTACTGTATAATAATTGTATCTAATATTGAATCTGATTAATTATTGCATCGCCATGGAAATATTTTGCATTTTTGGTCAGTAAAAAAAACACTCAAAGACTACAGGAGAAAAAATGACATGAAGAACTATACCAGATCCAAGAATCCCGATATTTGTTCGAAGAATCACAGCAATGTCTGTGCGGTGGCGTGAGAAAGCTTTCGAAGCTTCTATAGTGTTGAGTTTGAGCTCATACAAACTTGAAAAGGCCTCGGGATCAGCCTAGCTAAACCTCAAGAGCCTATTGGAGAATATTACTTGAAATTAACCCCGCGTTTGAAAGCTTATAGCCAGGTATTTTAGAAAACTGGTTTGGCCTCAACAGTTTATAAAAAAAATTCTTAAATTGACTAGCTCCCACGTTTGAAAGTTCTAGAATCTAGTTGCAACCACGTTTTGAAAAAAGTAGTTCGCCAACGGAAAGAACATTCTAGAGGTCAGCGGGGGATGGTAGTGTTATGAATTATCATTAAACATGGCCAGGTTATACTATAAACAGAAATTACAACTGTACAAACTGTATGTCACTGTCTCATGCTCATCGACATTTTCACGAAGAGAGCGCTCGCTCGAAACGTCGAGTTTCTGCTTATTTTTTAAGGTAGTAATATAACCACTCAGCACAGCATTTCTACTGTACATTGGTACTACCTACACTGGTACAGACAGCTTTAGTATATATTCTCCCAGAACGTAGCATTTTCTGGAGCATACTACAAAGGTCGTAGGTTCGATTCCCACCGTGGCCAGGCATATCTTTCAAGCTTGCCCGGTGTGGATATACACTCAGAGTAACATCACAAATATCTTATTCACGTGAGTACATTACACCAACACTGCTGAAAAACTTGATCTCACTCTATATCCGCACAATTATATTGAGTTTAAACCCGGTTCAGTCGTAACTTGCAACAGTGCAAACATGTGATGTGTGGTGTTATAGATTGCGGATTAATATTGTTGCAGTTACGATAATTTAATTTCAAGATAAGCTCTACAGGGAAATGTTCGCTGCTTAAAATGAGGTCATTCCCCATGAGGTCATTCCACGTTAATTAGAGCGTAGGCTTAAACTGACATAATATTAATTATTTTAATTAGAACGGGGGTGTAATTTAATTTATAGTTGATTAATTAGTTTAATTGCCACAAGGGTGTGTGTAACTTTATTTTGCCAATAATTTAAAGAAAATGTATATTCTTTGTTTGTTAAAGTTTTTCTACTGTCACTATAAATATCCGCAGGCAACTGCCAATATCAGAACAATACATTTTCTTTGATAGTAAGTTCCGTCTCATTCCTGGCTTTACAGCAGGTTGTGTAATTTATATTTAGTTGACCTGTATGGAAGTACAAAAGGGTCTCATTGGTAATTCTTATTGGATGCCGATTCTCTGTTCATGTTCGCCATACAATAATTATTTGTCTCCATGATATCTTTAATTTCTTTAACTATTGTAAAATATAGCGCACAGAATTGTTTCAGAATTTGCAAACAGTTTTAAATTATCATATAAAATATAGTTACACAGTAAAGCAAGGTTAAATGGTCATTGTGAATCTTACTATATGCCGACATAAATGCAATTTGTAACGTGCGTCATTTATATACCAATGATAAATGCTGCTTTTGACGAGTCAGTGGAAAAGAGCAATGTTGAAGCCCAATTGAACGTCCTCCTGAACACATTTGGGCATCTTTTCCAATTATTTTATCGGCTAATTGCTTTGACAGCAACCTGCACCCACAGTTCCTTACCATGTCCCGACCATGACCCTACAATGTCCTGTGTTTCTTCATACATGGTGAGTTGGCATTTTAACGTCCTACTTCTTTTAGCTTTTATTATACATGTAGTTTACTTGTTTAGAAATTATTGTCAATCAGTTGAATACGTTCGCCTTTGCAAATCACATGTTTTAATCGGAGTATGCTTTGTTTCACAATATGCTGCTACATGCATGCTATCTACATGATTTAGGAATTTTTGATCATTCAATATTTTAATGCTTTGATCGCTTCCTATGATTTATTTCTATTACATATAACTTCAAAAAACTCATTAATAATTCAGGAGGAAAACACAAAGAAAAATCATAAGCGTGTCGTGGTTTTATATGTGATAAAAAATCATGTTAATTTACATAAACTTTAGCTTTGATTTTCTCGGTTAAGACAAAGTTTATTTTAAAAATTACTTCGCCAATGAACTCGTATAAGATGAGTCGTTTTTTAAGCCATTTAAAGCACTTGTAGTCGTGTTTTATCACATATAAAACGCTCGGCTGCGCCTCGCGTTTTATATGTGATAACTGAAACACTCCTACGCGTGCTTTAAATAGTACATATGACATATGTGAATATGCGCAGGATTTTGCCACAATTTTTGTCTTTCGCTAAAATAGCATTCTCATAGTTATTACATATTGCATTCTTTTATTTTTCATGGACAAACAAATTGACTCAATAACATCGAGACAGGCAGAGGCGTAGGAACCGGGGGGACCAAGGGGACCAAGACCCCCAAGTTTTTGGAAGACACATTGCCTTCGTGAAAAATGTTGTTCAGATTGCATTTTTGACTCACGGATGTTGCAAAGCAATTCTTTCTGTCACTTTCATTTGATCTCCAGGGCTCGAAATAACGGTCGATCAACGATCAATGATCGGCAGCAAATTGTTTTTGATCGGCGAAGAAACAACGCGTACCGTTCATCTTGATCGGCAAGAAATATATTTGACCATTGTCTGAAGGACATGCTTACCTGTACGCGGTAAAAGACAAATAAAAAAATATGAAATACATTCAAAAACACACGAAAAACTCTTGTTTACTGAGTTGATACGAGTCATACGACAGGCCGCAATGCTATTACGCAATACGTAATAATTTCAAATTGATAGGATTATTTTAGTAGTATTTTTATTTTTAGTAGGTTTTTCTCTTTCAATATTAAATAATAAGTTTTAGTTCTTAATTGATAATGCTGCTGTGTTTTTTCTTACTTTTGTGTGAAAAAATACAATACTATAATTAAAACTAATTGAACTAAAATTTATTACTGTAATACATGTTATATGTAGTTACACTATTGGCATTGTCAGTATTGTATATATAAGTGCACAAATGTCATAGATTTAATTATTTAAACTCGAATTTGAAATGAAGTTAAACTTCCTGTTCCTAAGTGTATTTAATGGCATATTTAGGAAATGAGGGCAAATCTTTATTTGATCGGCAAAGCGTCGTGATTACCGATCGCCATGATCGGGAAAATTGGGGACGTTATTTCGAGCCCTGGATCTCATCCGTGAGTCCTTTGATTTATGATTGCATTTATTTATCCTTCCCTAATCCCCCCGGCACCGACATTTTTAGGTGCCCTTTTCATTCCAAAAGTATTAGATATCAGATAATTGAGTATTAAATATCAGATAGCATCATAGCATGTAGATTGCAACTGTTCTATATCACAATATGTGCAGATTATGACTTGACCACGTTATGTGTTTTGACCATGAGATATCTATGGTTTTGACATGTGTTGAGTATATTTGCATACAATTATTGCAACGGCAATAAACCACGCTTCATGCCATTTGACATGAACTTTCAAGGAGTCCTCCAGAGAATGTAGCGGTTTTCCCGCATCCCAACCAAACAACTAAACCATGGAATGGCACACAATGGAATGCACTGTCGCCACAAGGCAGGTTACCATGGGAACTGCATGTGTGTATGGTCAATATGGACAAAATTGATCAGTCAAAATAAGTCATTGGTTCCCAGTCAAATCCTTATCAAGCGCCCATTTACAAAACTCAAGATAGGAGTATAAAGGCAGCACTTGCCTTGCGATAGAAACTTCTAGTTTATAGATGATTCGATCAAGAATCCGGGTAGCGGGTTAGCGTAGTATAAAGTATAATGAAGGACGGGTTAGCATTTCTTATATCAAAAGCGCTTTGAGGTTCCACTATGCCGAAACTTTCTGCATCAATATGCGTTTTGAACCTTTCTAAGTCGAGCTAGATCAAAAAATTTTTTCCGATTTGCCCAAAATTTTCTAAGTCTGACTTTGGTTTATAAAGGCAGCACTTGCCTTGCGATAGTAACTTTTAGTTTATAGTTGATTCAATCAAAAATCCGGGTGGCAGGTTAGCGTAGTACAAAGTATAATGGAAGACGGGTTAGCATTTCTTATATCAAAATGCCCTTTAAAATTCCCCTGTGCCAAAACTTTCTGCACCAATAGGCAGTTCTGAAGCATCCTAATTCGATTTATTTCAAAATATGTTTGTAAGTCAAACAACTTTGGTCGAAATTTTTCAAGAGAAACTCAGCTTAGTTGACCCAATAATCCGAGTAGCGGGTTAGCGTAGTACAAATTATAATGAAGGACAGGTTTGCATTTCTTATATCAAAATGCGCTTCAAAATTCACCTATGCTGAAACTTTCTGCATCAATATGCGTTTTGAACCTTTCTAAGTCGATCTAGATTGAAATTTTTTTTTTGATTTGCCCGAAATTTTCTAAGTCTGACTTTGGTTTATAAAGGCAGCACTTGCCTTGCGATAGTAACTTTTAGTTTATAGTTGATTCGATCACGAAGCCAGCGAACGGCTAAGCGTAGTAGAAAGTATATTAAAACACGGCTAAGCATTTCTTATATCAAAATGCGCATTAAAATTCCCCTGTGCCAAAACTTACTGCATCAATAGGAAGTTCTGAAGCATCCTAAGTGGATTTATATCAAAATATGTTTGTAAGTCAAACTCTTTGTTCGCAATTTTCCAACAGAATCTCAGCTTAGTTGACTCAATAATCCGGGTAGCAGGTTAGCATAGTACAAAGCATAATGAAGGACGGGTTAGCATTTCTTATATCAAAATGCCCTTTAAAACAACCTCGTTCCCAGAGCTTTTCCCTTTGCTTTAAAATTCCCCTATGCCGAAACTTTCTACATCAATATGCGTTTTGAACCTTTCTAAGTCGATCTAGATCGAACATTTTTTTTCGATTTGCCCGAAATTTTCTAAGTTTGACTTTGGTTTATAAAGGCAGCACTTGCTTTGCGATAGTAACTTCTAGTTTTTAGGTGACTCGATCCACAAAGCTGGCAAACGGCTAAGCGTTGTAGAAGGTATATTAAAACACGGCTAAGCACGCCTAAGCATTTTTTATATAAAAATGCGCATTAAAATTCCCCTGTACCAAAACTTTTTGCATCAATTAATATGCGTTCTGAACCTTTCTCAGTCGGTCTATAACAAAATTTTTTTTCATTTTGCCCAAAATGAGATTCACCTCATAAGATAAGCGAGTCACAACAATGTACTTGTGTTTTTAATTTTACGAGAATTACATGTCGTCCACTGATGGTTTAGTGGTATGTTGTTTGGCCTGTCTCGATAAATTTACATTTGAGTTCAAATCCAGTTGAACTCATGTTTTGTAGCGGACTCACAATATTTTTTTTCCTTTATTTATTCTGGCTATTTTTTATTCTTTTTATACCTCTATGTGCAAAGTCCGTTGACAAGTTTTTCTTTATTTTTTGTTTATTTTTCACTGTTTTGGGTTTTCTAGTGTTTTGAATAAAATTCCCGCCTATTTGCAAAACAGGAGTTCACAATCCTGTTGAAAATGTGTTTCAGCGGTCGTTACTCGCTGCTTACTTTATGTAATTTTCTGTTTAAACGCCCAACGCACAGTTAACTACGTGATTAGTTAACTATCCGACTAACTACGTTTTGTGCAACGCAGTTAAGTCGTGTAGTTAACTAATTACAGTTAAGGATTTAACTAGAGCGATTAACGCTAACTACAGTTAGCGCTAATTACGTTTTTATACAACCGGCCCCCGATTTGGGTATCAATTTCCCGTTTGTAATCTAAAATGACTGAAAATTGCAAACTTCGCAAGGCTATATTATCCATGGCCAGAAATTCAGGACAACATGGCGATTAGCATACGCAATGTGCTTCCTCATTCATTATTCAAGATGGCTGATTTATAATAGATTAAGTATTGCAAAATATTTTTTTTAGCAATTTCCAACGTTTTTTGTACATAAGTCCGACCTCTGCACGTCGAAAACATCATTTAATTACTCGATCCTTTAACCGAATAAATTTCAGAACAGTTCAAGTAGGGCAACCCAGTTCCCGAGAACTATATTCCTACCTTATCTCATCACATATACCAGATAGTTAATTCTCCCAAAATTCGCAAACTGCACATTTTTGGGCAGCATTTTAGGACATTCGTGGGCAGTACATGGAGCTTCTGCACGTCTGCATTGATAAAAGTTGAGTTTATCTTTGTTCTCCAACAGTTTACAAACCCGTAGAGGATGGAGAAACAGGTTCCAAAAAGCCACCAAATATATGCTTTTAGCAAACAGAAAATGTGTACATTCAGCGTTGGAAGCATCACAAATCATTCGAAAAATTGAAAAAAACAGCAAATTTGTAAATGTTGATCCGCCATTTTCCTTTAAAATTGTTGCTATATATAGCAACAATTGCATATAGGCAACCTATATGACTGACAAGGTGTATTTGTGGGCTCAGTGAGGTTGATTTCGCAATAAAATAGCTCAGATTTCGCGGGAAATTTTGTAAAATTTGATAAAATTATTTGCAGCTTTCGGTTTGAGCATCCTTAGCAGTTGGAAATTTATTTTAAAATACTTTTCTTTCGTTTACTTGAACATACTTTACCTCAAGTAAGTATTTAAACAACTTATTGTTGTATTGTGCGTATAAAAATTGCATACGAATACAATGTCGGATACATGCCCGACTGCATTCCATTCATTCTTGAAATGGAAACTTGGTGAATATGAGCCCGCGCGTCTTTCCGCTGACTGTCCTGAATTTCTGGCCATGCCGCATTTTACAACATTAGTTGGCTTAGTGGTAGGTCGTTTGGCCTGTCTCGATAAACGTTTGGGTTCACTCCAGTTGAACTCATGTTTTGTAGGGGACTAAGAATATTTTTTTCCCTTTATTTGTTCTGGCTATTTTGAACCTGGCCCGAAGAGATTAAGATAATCATTCTATATTGTATAATTTCACACGATTTTCAGGTCGTCCACTGATGGAGTGATGCCGTAGTGGTAGGACGGCTTAGCGCGGCTTAGCACGGCTTAGGACGGCTTAGCATTGCTCATTTGCATGCGCCTTGTACTTAGAAAATCATCTCAAAATACGCTTTAAATTTCTCTTGTGCCTAAACGTTCTGCATTAATATGCGTTTTGAACCTTTCTCTGTCGATCTATAACAAATTTTTTTTTTCATTTTGTCCGAAATGACAGACGGCTTAGCACGGCTTAGCATTGCTCATTTGCATGCGCCTTGTACTCAGAAAATCATCTCAAAATACGCTTTAAAAGTCTCTTGTGCCAAAACGTTCTGCAACAATATGCGTTTTGAACCTTTCTCTGTCGATCTATAACAAAAAATTTTTTTTCATTTTGTCCGAAATGAAAGACGGCTTAGCACGGCTTAGCACGGCTTAGCATTGCTCATTTGCATGCGCCTTGCACTCAGAAAATCATCTCAAAATACGCTTTAAAAGTCTCTTGTGCCAAAACGTTCTGCATCAATATGCGTTTTGAACCTTTCTCCGTCGATCTATAACAAAAATTTTTTCTTCATTTTGCCCGAAATGAAAGACGGGCTAGCACGGCTTAGCACGGCTTAGCATTGCTCATTTGCATGCGCCTTGCACTCAGAAAATCATCTCAAAATACGCTTTAAAAGTCTCTTGTGCCAAAACGTTCTGCATCAATATGCGTTTTGAACCTTTCTCCGTCGATCTATAACAAAAATTTTTTTTTCATTTTGCCCGAAATGAAAGACGGGTTAGCACGGCTTAGCACGGCTTAGCATTGCTCATTTGCATGCGCCTTGCACTCAGAAAATCATCTCAAAATACGCTTTAAAAGTCTCTTGTGCCAAAACGTTCTGCATCAATATGCGTTTTGAACCTTTCTCTGTCGATCTATAACAAATTTTTTTTTTTCATTTTGTTCGAAATGAAAGACGGCTTAGCACGGCTTAGCACGGCTTAGCACGGCTTAGCACGGCTCATTAGCACGGCTTAGCACTCAGAAAATCATCTCAAAATACGCTTTAAAAGTCTTTTGTGCCAAAACGTTCTGCATCAGTATACGTTTTGAACCTTTCTCTGTCGATCTATAACAATTTTTTTTTTTCATTTTGTTCGAAATGAAAGACGGCTTAGCACGGCTTAGCATTGCTCATTTGCATGCGCCTTGTACTCAGAAAATCATCTCAAAATACGCTTTAAAATTCTCTTGTGCCAAAACGTTCTGCATCAATATGCGTTTTGAACCTTTCTCTGTCGATCTATAACAAAATTTTTTTTTCATTTTGCCCGAAATGAAAGACGGCTTAGCACGGCTTAGCACGGCTTAGCATTGCTCATTTGCATGCGCCTTGTACTCAGAAAATCATCTCAAAATACGCTTTAAAATTCTCTTGTGCCAAAACGTTCTGCATCGATATGCGTTTTGTACCTTTCTCTGTCGATCTATAACAAAATTTTTTTTTTCATTTTCCCGAAATGAAAGACGGCTTAGCACGGCTTAGCACGGCTCAAGCACGGTTTAGCATTGCTCATTTGCATGCGCCTTCCACTCAGAAAATCATCTCAAAATACGCTTTAAAAGTCTTTTGTGCCAAAACGTTCTGCATCAGTATACGTTTTGAAGATTCCCCTGTACCAACACGTTTTCCATCAATATGCGTTTTGAACATTTCTAAGCCGATCTAAACCGAAAAATAGCCCGAAATTTTCTAAATTTGACTTTAGTTTAAAAGGCAGCACTTGCCTTGCGATAGTAACTTCTAGTTTCTGGTTGAGTCGATGCACGAAGCCGGCGAACGGCTAAGCTAGTAGAAAGTATATTAAAACACGGCTAAGGACGGCTAAGCACTTTTTATTACAAAATACTCATTAAAATTGCCCTGTACCAAAACTTTTTGCATCAATAAATGTTTTGAACATTTCTAAGTCGATCTAAACCGAAAAATGGCCCGAAATTTTCTAAATTTGATTTGGTTTAAAAGGCAGCACTTGCCTTGCGATGGTAACTTCTAGTTTAATTGACACGATCCACGTCGATCCACGAAGCCGGCGAACGGCTAAGCGTAGTAGAAAGTATATTAAGACACGGCTAAGCATCATTTATTTATAAATGCGCATTATAATTCCCCTGTGCCATAACTTTCTGCATCAATATCCGTTTTGAACCTTTCTCTGTCGGTCTATAATAATTTTTATTTCATTTTGCCCGAAATGAGATTCACTTCATGAGATGAGCAGGTCACAACAATGTACTTGTGTTTTCAATTTTACGAGAATTACAAGTCGTCCACTGATGGCTTAGTGGTATGTCGTTTAGCCTGTCTCGATAAGCATTTGGGTTCAAATCCAGTTGAACTCATGTTTTGTAGCAGACTCACAATATTTTTTTCCTTTTATTTATTCTGACTATTTTTTATTCTTTTTATACCTCTATGTGCAAAATCCGTTTACAAGTATAAGAAAATATTGCCATGTTGAAACTGGCTCGAAAAGATTAAGTTAATCATTCCATATTGCCTAATTACGCCAGGATTTAATGCGGGACTTGCCGAGCGATAGTAACTTCTAGTTTTAGTTGAGTCTATCACGAAGCCGGCGAACGGCTAAGCGTAGTAGAAAGTATATTAAGACACGGCTAAGCACCCATTTATTTATAAATGCGCATTATAATTCCCCTGTGCCATAACTTTCTGCATCAATATCCGTTTTGAACCTTTCTCTGTCGGTCTATAATAATTTTTATTTCATTTTGCGACTAAGCATTTTTTATATCAAAATGCGCATTAAAATTCCCCTGTACCAAAACCTTTTCCATCAATATGCGTTTTGAACATTTCTAAGCCGATCTAAACCGAAAAATAGCCCGAAATTTTCTAAATTTGACTTTAGTTTAAAAGGCAGCACTTGCCTTGCGATAGTAACTTCTAGTTTTTGGTTGAGTCGATGCACGAAGCCGGCGAACGGCTAAGCTAGTAGAAAGTATATTAAAACACGGCTAAGGACGGCTAAGCACTTTTTATTACAAAATACTCATTAAAATTGCCCTGTACCAAAACTTTTTGCTTCAATAAATGTTTTGAACATTTCTAAGTCGATCTAAACCGAAAAATGGCCCGAAATTTTCTAAATTTGATTTGGTTTAAAAGGCAGCACTTGCCTTGCGATGGTAACTTCTAGTTTTAATTGACACGATCCACGTCGATCCACGAAGCCGGCGAACGGCTAAGCGTAGTAGAAGGTATATTAAAACACGGCTAAGCACGGCTAAGCATTTTTTATATCAAAATGCGCATTAAAATTCCGCTGTACCACAACGTTTTCCATCAGTATGCGTTTTGATATTTATTTATAAATGCGCATTATAATTCCCCTGTGCCATAACTTTCTGCATCAATATCCGTTTTGAACCTTTCTCTGTCGGTCTATAATAATTTTTATTTCATTTTACCCGAAATGAGATTCACTTCATGAGATGAGCAGGTCACAACAATGTACTTGTGTTTTTAATTTTACCAGAATTACAAGTCGTCCACTGATGGCTTAGTGGTATGTCGTTTAGCCTGTCTCGATAAGCATTTGGGTTCAAATCCAGTTGAACTCATGTTTTGTAGCAGACTCACAATATTTTTTTCCTTTATTTATTCTGACTATTTTTTATTCTTTTTATACCTCTATGTGCAAAATCCGTTTACAAGTATAAGAAAATATTGCCATGTTGAAACTGGCTCGAAAAGATTAAGTTAATCATTCCATATTGCCTAATTACGCAAGGATTTAATGCGGGACTTGCCGAGCAATAGTAACTTCGAGTTTTAGTTGAGTCTAATCTAAACCGAAAAATGGCCCGAAATTTTCTAAATTTGATTTGGCTTAAAAGGCAGTACTTGCCTTGCGATGGTAACTTCTAGTTTTAATTGACACGATCCACGTCGATCCACGAAGCCGGCGAACGGCTAAGCGTAGTAGAAAGTATATTAAGACACGGCTAAGCATTATTTATTTATAAAGGCGCATTATAATTCCCCTGTGCCATAACTTTCTGCATCAATA